GTTTAGTAAGCACATGTCTGGCGATTCTCCCCCCGTACTCGCTCAGTAAGTCATCGACCAGAGTTATTGTGACGACCTGCGGCCCGTTATGGCGGGCAAGGGCAGTGAACCAGTTACGCGGTTCGGAACATGCCATCAGCACAATGGGCCGAGCCAAGTCAACACTGTAAAGAGTGACGACTGTGCGAGTTCTCATACCAGGAAGCGAGACATGCACAGGAGCGCGAAGCACAACACCGTCATGTTTAACCATCGCGAGTTCAATACCCGGCGCTAACTGTGGTTTGTGCTTCACCGCAATGCGATACGGAACAAACCAACGACCAGGGACAAGCTGCTCGTGATTGATATGCAGACAACGCATAAGCAACTTCAATCGGAGCAAAGTTTCCAACGCAAGGTCGTTGACACATTTTAATTCTATGCGCTCGTTCGACAGTTCTTCAACGAATGCGGCCAGCACGGACTGCATGTCAACATCCCCGGACCCGACGTGAATTGGTCGTGGTCGTGGAGGTCGTTCCCGCGCCGGCACAGCAACCGGTACGGGATGAAACTGCCAAACTGCGCGTTCAACCCATCCATCAATCCGCACACATTGCAGCCCTGGGTCAACTCTATCCTCGACCTTGAGCCATGACCCGTTCTTCAGAAACCAAGTGGAACGAAGCCACTTGCTCCCGAACGGTGTCATAACCGCAAGTGGAGGTTTCACACGCATCAATCTGGGTCCCTTGGCAACAACAACCGGATCATGTCCTTCATGCTCATGCAATCCCTCTTTAGATGTTAATCCAGACCACCACAGGTCCGGGGGCATGATCGGTATGTGTGTGTACGGAAATGTTGGAACTCCGTCAACTGTCCCCGAAGCAGTCTGCATGGTCCCTTTTATGGGATCACACGTAGGTGTGAGCGCCTTGAGGGTATCCGGGTCAGACAGCAAGCTCGGGTCAAGTAGACCGATCTGCAAACATGCATGTTTCCACTTGCGCCCATCATTGAACGCCTTGGTGTATATGTCAGCCGCCATCCTGTCGGTGACTTCATACGCCAGGTACATGTAATCACGTGTGAACATCTCATGCATCCACGAAATGCTAACACCATGGCTTCTCTCAAGGTGGCGCATCGTGGGGTTTCTCCCCGATCGCACGACACCGATCATTGCCTTGTTATCGTCATAGAACACAAAGTTCGGTGACTTCTTGAGAATCCGCTCTAACAACTTTAGAGCAGGCATACCCATCGATCTCATGGCAACATCGGCCGCAACTATTTCGGCCTCGGGAGTGGAATGACTCACACAACCCTGTCTTTTGGAGCTGCCAGACAACGGAAACCGGGTATTAGGTCCTTGTGTATTCAAGTGTCCACCAGAGGTGGAACGTAGCGAGTCAACGCATCCCGCAAAGTCAGCGTCCGCATACAAGGCCAAGTGCACATCATCCATAGGGTCTCCAACCCAACCGACCATGCGCCAATGTTTAGTATGATGCACATAGCACATCAAGTGATGCAAACCCCGATCATCGGAGTCAGTCCACCTATGCACGTTCCGTGCTAGGCGATTCACTTGCCGCAACAAATCGACGCGAGCAATCCGCGCGCCGTACAGCAACTTCATCAGTACGCTAGCGGCATGCGGAGCAAGGTGTCCACGCACGGGCTCCTTCATGGCCAACTCAGGAGTCCCTCCCCGTTGGTCCGGCACTGTGGCAGAACCGTCGGTGGGCACAAGATTGTTACACCAATTGCACTCGACTGACGGCCCCTCTCTGGCAGGCTTCCGTGAGACGTGATTCTTTGTTTCTTCATGCAACTCAGGGGTGACAACCTTATTCAACTTCACGTCGCCCGCCACTTCAAGATAGCGGTCGACACAGGAACGTAGGAACTGTTCCATGTCATAGGTCACCGTTGTTACTCGGTGTCTGTTCCCGAGAGTGACGTTTCCCTTGCTTTGATTGCAACCAAGGTACATGTCAAGTCCAGTCTCGGGCTCAATCTTCAAACGTGTACGCAACATGCTCCACCCTTGGGCAAGGTTCTTCTGCGGCCCTGCCATTTTGAAGTCATCGACATACACAACCAGAACAAGCTGGAGCTTCTCATGAATGTACACTGAAGGCCATTCTTCGCCGATGGGTTCAAAACCAACGGCACGCACCGACTCGTCGCAGTGCTGCTCCCAGAATGTTCCCGCATCTGGGTGTCCGTACAGCGCCTTCCTCAACGGGACGACTGGTCTTCTGTACTTATCCCATTTGCATTCACTTGGCACAGCCTCCGGTGGCAGTTCAATCCAACACGGCGTGCCTCTCAAGGTGGCCTGTATGTACGCTTGAACAGCGTCGGCCATCTGCACGTCCCAGCCATCATGACAACCCAAAAAATCCGCCCAACGCGAGGCTTCGAATGAAGCAGGAGAATTCCCCAAATCTTGAAACATCGCAGCCTCAAAACTTTGGTTCTTCACTTGGTTCCCCAGCAGCACGCCTCTACCCTTGAACTTCCTCTTAGGATCACCAACAGGCAACTGTGAGTGCTATTCAACGCAAATGCCATGTGCACGAGCCATGTGTATCTCTTCCCCTTTCGCTTTTGCCTCCTTGGCTACAGCGTCATATTCACGCACCGCGCCAAGATCGAAGACGCCCTGGTCGATTAATCCCGACCATTCTTTCTTCATCGATGCCAACGCATCAGGGTTGGTCAACATCTCTTTCCGGCCGACCGGCCTGGATACTAAAGCGTCGAAGAATCGTACAACTTTCACAGCTTTCTCTCTGTGCTGTATTCGCTCAGAAGTCACGCACGGCATAGATGGGTACTTCTTGGCTTCACCGTCTTCGCCTGTCGCAGGCATCGCGAGTGGCACTTTTCCAGAAACTACCTCAGCAGACTCCTCCCATTCATACCAGGTAAGATCCATCGATTTGTCGACCGTTGGATCTGTCCCCGATGTCGTCTCAGCTTCGTCATTCTGACTCTCCATGACTGATGCAACTGCCTTCGTCCAGTTTGGAGTCGACTTTGATCGCTCCTCAGACTTGAACTTCCAGGCATAAATTACTACCAGACACTCAAATTCCTTCTCAAGCTGAACGTTTCGTCTCAAGACGTCTTGGGATTGCTTGGAATCCATGAGAACAACCACTCCGTCGACAGGATTTACAACAATCCTGACCCATTCAAGTTCAGCCAAGTGCTTCCCATCCATTGGGTTCTTGATCCTTGATATGTTCTTCCGCAACCCCCAATTGTACTGCCATTCTACTCCACCCCAGCGGTTTCGAAGCATTGCTCGAATTCTCTTACCACCGGGCATTTGTAATGTCCGTGCCTCTGCCGGCGCAGAAATCTCAGATTCTTTACTCTTGGGATCTTCTTCCTTCCTTTTGCCACCGCCCTTCACCTCGGCCTTTTCTTCTTTGGTGTAGTATTTACTCATCATTTTCCATTCTTCAGGAGTGTACTCTGGAGGTCTCGACGTCTTCATTAGCCTGAATCCATCCTTCCCGACGGGATACGGTCTTCCGGCTTTGTCGATCTTAACCTCCTTGCCATCATCGTTGACGTACGTGATGCCATCCCCAGGTAGTCCAACTGACACGTGTGGAAGGTCGGACTTCGTGACCTTCTCGTCGCTCTTGGCATGTCCATCTCCTTTCCCCTTTGATGAGCTTGGTCTAGCATCTTCCTCTCCTGCATGATCCCCCCGACCTCCGACAAGTACCTCCGGGCCATCGTCAAGCAGTAGACCAGCGATCTGATCGACCTCATCGTCAAGCAGTCGCTTCTCGTCACTCTGCAACAGTTCAGGCTCGTAATCCTCATCTTCGATCAGGCGGTCACGCGCATCCAGACCGATTGCATCGACAGACATCTCTATCCCTTCCAAAGTCTCGTTGGCAACCTTGTACTTCTGTTGTATTGGGAATGTCAGAGGAGATTTTAGAATCATCCTCTCCGTCTGGTGTGGCATTCTCAACCGAGGTGGAACCTTCGCCTTCTTGATGTTCAGCTCTGCACCCGCAAATGCGGTGAGTGCCCAAGCACGATACTTGTTTGCCCAATGCATCCCGGTGCTCAATACATATCCAGCAAATATACCAGTTTCCCCTCTCGGCT